CAGCTACGAATTACAAAGCTTTTGTGACATATCAGGCACCAAGCTAACCGCTCTCTGCACCTTATCTCCCTGCAGCCTCCCACCACCCCTGTGTGTGGGAATCCTTATCTTAAAGGCTCAGAACACTTAAGTAGCAGCCCAAGGTCACACGGCTAGCAATGGCAGAGCCAAGGTTTGGATGAAGGACCGTCTGACTCCAAAGTCCAGGCTCTTCATCCTGTGCCCACGTTTGTTCCATGCCCGGCACCAATGCCTTGGAAGCCAGTAGTCTCTAGAGCGAGATGAAAGCCAGGTGCTCGGCGACTGTGCACTGGCTTACACGAAACTGATGAAACCCGCCTGTGTGACCTTTTGACACAAAGCTGCCAGGAAGCCACTGATCGTGTTTAAGTGTATGTTAGGTGTTAGTGGATGAAGCATTCAACCTCTAATTACACTTAGAAAGGGGAACAGCTACGTCTACGTCCCCAAGCATGTCTCTGAGCCTCAAGCCCCCACCTCTCACATGGGAAAATATGCCCTGACAACCTGACAAGGTTGTTGAAGGGATGCAATGAGATAATAGCTATGAATTAGTGTTTCATGATTGCTGTAACAGAGGTCTAGTTTTTACAGCAAATTTAACATTGAGGTGACAGCCTATTTTTCTTTATTTCTCAGACTCTATTGACATTGCCTATAAGATCGGATGTTTAGACCATGAAGCCACAATGGACACTTTAAAAGAGTCCTCAAGAGGAAGGAGCAGACTCTGGGGCAGAGGTCACAAATGCACAGCCAACCCCCAATAATGTCTCTCATTTGATCGGCAATTTTACAAAATTGGGAGTTGCGTGCAAGGTTAGCTGCAATAATTCCCACTAACTCCTACTGTATTATCGGAGCCATTTTACATATATTAACCTGCCTGGCCCAGAAAGGACTTTTACCCTGCACTGAGGGTTAATTAACTACTTTATTCTTCTTTTCATTCATTCATTCATTATTGAATATATTTGCCCCCTTAAGTAGGTCTGATTGCTAAGGGCTAGGTATTAGAGTGATGAATAAGACAGAGTCCCTGTTCTCCTGGAATTTATCATCTGACAACGAAGACAACATTTCATAAAAAATTAACAAGTATAATGAGTGTCAAGAACCCATATCCAAAGCTCAGCAGCCCACACTTCAAGCTTGGTTGCATCGAGATCACAAACTTCCCAGAATAAAGTGACTTGAGCCCTAACTTTAGGGTCCACACTGTGTACTTTTAAAATCACATTTCCCGACATCAATTCTGATGGAACTATGGATAGGAAAATTTGAATTACACCTGAGCTTCCAGAACCTATGCAGTGTTTTTGGTTTTCTTTAAAAAAAAATACAGAATGCTTCATGAATTTGCATGTCATCCTTGTGCAGGGGCCACGCTGATTTTCTCTGTACAGTTCCAACTTTAGTTTATGTGCTGCCAAAGTGAGCACATGTTTTTGGTTTTCTGATACTTTCTTACTGGCCCCATCAAACCTTGGGTTTTCTTTCACTGATTTTCATTCAAAGCTAAATGTATTTATGAAGCATCCCAGAGTTCAGTCTTGAACTATTATGAAGAAGAAAGCCACCCTTGTCTTAGGGAGTGGAGTGATGGAAGAGGAAGAGCACAGACTCAGAAAGCAGAGGGGTACCAGCGCCCCACCCTTTCCTGGCGGGGAGGCCCTGGGCAGACCCTGTGGCATCATTGTGCCGTGGCTGCCTCACCTGAGCCTGCCCAGAGCATAGGCCTTCCCAGGCGGAGGAGTCAAGGAAAGGAAACTGTATAGGGCTGGAGGATAGAAACCAAACAACACAGAATGCTGCTGGACCACTAGAAATTCTGAGGAATTCCTGAAGGCAAGAGAGCAGAGATCACATCCATGAAGAAGTAAAAGCAGAGGAAACTACGGGCCAAAACAGAGCAGTAAAATTTTCCATAGAAGGAATTCTGTGTGTGTGTGTGTGTGTGTGCGTGCGTGCATGTGTGTAAGTTGAGCCCAGAGTCAAGGTGGAGTTCGAGGAAGCTCTGGGGTGTTCACTGGGGGCTGCTTTTTGGGCTGCTGGCCCCTCCTCAGCTGCATTAAGTGCAGAGGTGCTCACCACAGGCTGCCACCTAGAGTGTGGGCACTGGGGCAGGAAGGCAGGGCAATGCCCCAGGAGGTCATTGTCCCCATGGTAGACCAGGAGCTCCCATACATGGAAAAGAAGCTAAGGCACATAGCTTTCAGGAGCATTCCAAAGGGTTGTGCCCCAACCCCACAATCACCAGAGTCAGGGTACATCAAACAGAACAGGCAGAGGAAGTGGGATTCTCAAATACCAAGAGGAGCAGACAAGTAAGAACGACCAAACATTTAAGGAAAATCAAAACCCCTGAAGATTGGCACCAAATTTAACAGACAAAAGAAATAATACCCAATTTAAGAGCGTTCATAGAGAAAGACTTTAGAATACTGAAAATTAATATCCCTGGAGAGATTTGAGAGGACATTTTCACCATGAAAAAGAAACAACTAGAGATCTTAAGTTTTCATTTTATCATTAACATTTTTAAAAAGATAACTAAACAGCAGAAAGAGCTAAAAGGAGACTAATCAAGGGTGCTAGAAATTAAAGCCAAACAATTTCATAAGAACACCAACATAAAAAGACAAAAAGGATAATGCAAATGAAAAATTAAGAGACTCAGAGGATAGATCTGAGCAAGTATTTGTCCAAGAGAAGCGCCAGAGGATAGAACAGAAACAATGGAAAAATAAAACAAACAATAATAACAACAGTAAATGAACATTTTCCAATGCCAAAGACATAAGCCCGTATACTGAAAGGCCCATGTAGTGCTTTAAATGGGACAAAGATCTATAGATAAGAGAAAGAATCTATTAGAGAACATCTTGGCTCTATATGCATACAATGACAGAGATTTTAAACATACACAGCAAAAACAGAGAAATATAAGGGAAAATCGACAAGTTCACAGAAATCACCCAGATTAAATAGGCAAAAATTATGAAGGGCTATATTACGGTGGTTTGCAAATGAGCATAAGAATTTCCTGGAAGCCTTATGAAAAATGCAGATTCTGCACACTCCAACCTAGTTCTGTATCTTTGAGTGGGGTGTGAAAGTTTTCATTTTTAATAAGAAGCCAAAGTGAGTCTGATGTAAGTGTTCTGGGACTATACTGGGAGATAACATGATCTCCAGGTTAAATAACACAATTAATAGCTTAATTTAATAGACATACTGGGAATATTACACCAAAAAGAGAATGATTACTCTTTTTGAAATACCATGGAACATTCATAAAAATGATCCAGTAGACTACAAACAAAAATCTCCAAAACTTCCAAAACAACAAAAACCAAACAGACCAATCTCTAATCATAGTGTAGTAAAATTAGAAATTAACACAGAAACTCTACTTAGAACATTTGTAAAAACTCTTCAAAAAATACAGAGAAAAAAAATCCTAAAATCACAAACCAATAGAAATAAATGACAAGGAAAACACTACACATACAGCAAAATTTGTGAGATAAGGACAAAGCAGTATTTGGAGGAAAATATACAGCCTTAAAAGTGTTGTATTAGAAAAATATACACAAGATCTTATGGTAGCTCACAGAGAAAAAAAT